TGACATTTTGAGGTAGAAAAAGTAAATTGCGTTTTTTATTGTACCCTTTGCCAGACATTTTCATACCTCGACTCAAGGCAAACCATTCAGTTGAGATGATTCAGTTCATTTATTACTAGAGAGCACATTGAGCAATATTTCTAATTCAGTCATACTTTGAAATACATCATAATTCCTCTTCCTCACAATTCCCTAAAGAATGAAAAATGGAAACTTATGAGTACTGAATTAGAAAATTATGAGAGTAGAAATAGTATTGGACATCTTTCAGAAATATGTATTTTTACTGGTGACATATTCCTTAAGCATGTTCTAGTGTTCCATATAAAAGGCAAATCTTAGATTCAGTGAACAAGTTCATTCATGTATGTGATTAATGCTTGCATTGCTCATGTGACTATGCGAAAAGAGAGTAGGATGAAGAACAGAGTACCTCTAAATGTCCTTCCACATTTAGATTTTTAATGTATATTTAAGATTGCTCTGCTTGATTTTCAGATCTAGGTAACTCTTAGATAAAATGAATTGAAAACAATTATTTTTTCCCTCCATAACCCAGTAACATACAAGTATTTTATAATTGTCTTAACAATGGTAGGCTCTGCTCTTTTGGAGGGAAGACTAAATATAGCATGACTAAGATTGCTGTCCTGAGAAATGTCTGACTTCAAGATTGGCCTGTGGCTATCAGCTGTAAACTTACATTTTGAAGTGTTCTCCCCCATTCCTTGAACTAATAACAGTGGTTCACTGTGCTGAGTTATTTGTACAAACAATGTAATTATGATGAACACCTTTCTTCCTTTTGGGAGTCTAGATTTTGGTATATACTAAGCCAGAATGTGTGTGGTAAAAATTTACCAGTAAAACTCAGGAAACCAAGTCTCCAATGATCTTCTCTGGTAGACAACATTTCACAAGTGTTGGAACAGTTTGTTGTCAGGGAAATTAAGTGTGTTCTGTATGAGTCAGAACACTGCCAGGAGGGGCCTCTTAAAAGTTTGCATGTTGATTCTTCCAAACTTTGCCCCATGTACTTTTTTACTTGCCAATTTTTTATTTTATATTCTTATGTTATAATAAGTCTTAGCCATGAACACAATCATTTGCTAAATCTATTGAATTTCTCTAGGGAATCAGTAAAGCTGGAGGTGTTTTTTAGGATTTCTGGCCCAGCTTTCTCAAAATTTGAATTCAGAATTCAGTGATTTGAGAGAATACTTTATATAATAATTAGAAACATTTTCTACATTATGTTGAATGTTTACATATTATAAGAAGTAGAAAAAAGAAAGTTACATCTTTATCCAATAGTAACACTCTACAATCTTTTTTTCACCTCTGAATTCTGGATCTTGCTCATGCAAATACCCATATGTATGATATGATTCTTTCATAAACTCATACCTCAGTCTTCCTGATTCTCTGTCTTGGTAGATTTCTAATGAGCGAATATACTGACCTGAGTACAATCAGTCCTTGCTTTAAAATTAGTTTCACCAGGCCATGGAGTTTAAAGTGAAATAGTTTGTCTAGATTTATCATGATGATAACAGACACAAAATTTGGACCAAAGAAATACTGGAATATAGTTTATTATTTATTATTTCCCTGGTTTCTTGCTCTGATAGTTTTTTTTCCTTATAAAACAAAGGTTATTTATTTACAAAATGTTACCCTGATAAGTCTAGTTATTTTTTATTTAACTAATCCTAATAATCTAGCTTAATGAAAGAATTAACATTAACTTTTGCCTTCCACTGCTTCTACTAACTTTAAAATGTTGGAGGTGATTTTTTTTTCCTGAACCTATTTTCTGAAATTTTGTTTAAAAACAAAAACAAAAACAACTTTTTAGATTCTGTTTCTTATTTTGTTCTGCATAGTTTGCTGTCCTCAAAAATCTGGTGTATATTTATTCCTTTCTTTCCTTTTGATGAGGGCCACATCTATTTTTTTGTTACTGATTTATAAAAATATATTAAATATTTTGATAGCCACAGAAGTTTGATTTATTTCTATCAGTTTAATCTTATGATGATTTGTTTTAGATTTATGATTTTTCAACATTATTTCAGGTTAGAAGTATTTTGGAGATCTAAAGAATAATATTTAACCCACTAGAAATTTTTAATTACCTACCATGGGGTCAGTATTGTCTCTTTTTTCTAGTTTTCACAGGAATTTTTTTTTTTTTTCATTCATCCAGCCAAGAATGTCTACTCACATAGAGTTATACCCCAAATGCATTTTTTAATGTTAAAAGCAGTTTTATTATTCTTTTTGTTGAAGAAAGAACAATATTTCACTAATAAGAATCATTAGGACTTTTATTCCTCCTTTAATCAAATATGTAACATTGGGCAATGCTTTCTCTTCAGTAACTAAATTCCCACCATTTCCTTCTCTTTGTTGTTGAATTATAACTTAATTCTCTCGTTTCCCTTTTCCTTTATCTTTGTAGATATTAGAACAGAGTTTTTAGATGTGAATCTCTGTCTACCTAGAAACTATTCAATCTGTGATATTTGTGTTAAAGAATTGACAGCTAATGTCCACACATGCAAGCTGGTGATGTAAATGAGTAAATACAGTTAGAATAAAAAAAATGTGGACTGACAGGGACTGTGAAGAGCTAGAAGATACCTATTCTATATAGGAATTCAAACTGAGAAATTTAAAATACTCTGCAAAGTCCAGCAAAATAATTATGCATATCAGATAATGTAGGGATTCTGACCATGGAAATATACAGGGAAGCATTCCTCTGATTAGCAAACTCTCGGGGGCAGGGTAACAGGCACCCTGTTTCCCAAGCTTAGGATGCTCTGCAGTTTCTCCTAGGAACTAGTAAAATAACTAATACATGTGCAATGTCTAGCTGCTGTGCCAATGCCCTGCATGAGGAGGCTCTATGCTAGAGTCTTATCAGCCTCAACCTTGATCTCAGGCACATAGTTCCTGAGAATAAAGGAACTTGCTTGCCAGATAACTACAATGTTTCACCAAGCCCCAGTGCTACTGGACCTGCCCACCTAAAAGTAACTTCAGAAAATGGACTTCCTTTGAGAGCTACACAAAGCTCTTAACATTGCATATTGTAACTGTAGAATGTAACTGAAGAATAAGCAGCCTTACTGATACAAGAAATAATAATGTACTATTGATGCCAATGACCTATTGATATAAATAAAGCTGGCAGCTTGGCCATTCTGCCATCTTTCCTGCCCCTGCATCTTGTTTGTGTCTCTTTTTATTTTCCTTACAAGATAAGGCTCAAGGACAACTTGTGATCTCTGATTTATATATTCAGATCTTCATATATCAATCCAAGATAACTTAGTTAGCATTTAAGCAAATTTGTTTCTACCCTAGGGTATTTTTGGCTAAAAATATGTTTCAGTTTACTTTTTGAAAGTAAAATATACCCTGTTAGTCCATGGCCAAATTAGAAAACTGTATATGTTCTTTTCAAAACACTGTTTTTCAGGGGTTATTGACATGAAAATTTATGTCTCTTTTTTATGATTTTTCCCCTGAAATTGTTATATTGCAGCCTTGGTGCAATGTAGACATATGTATGGGGACAGGGGACACACAGGAAGCTGTGTGCCTCCCTTTCAATTTTGCTGTGAATCTGAAATGTCTATAAGAAATAAAGTTTAATAATAAAAAAATTTAGAAGTATAGTAATTGGATATCCCTACACAAAAATAGAAGTAATTTTGATCCTGTATAGTTGTAACCTACCTCTTTGTAGTCATTTGTTTTTGTTTAACAGAAATTTCCCCTGTAAACCCTGGGAAATGTGTATTAGTAGAAACATAAGCAAATTCTACCCTAATCTTTGCTTAATCTAAAAATGTTGAACCTCCAGGCCCTTTTTCTTATCTGATGGACTGCTACAATTTCTGTTTTTTTTTTTCTTCTCTCTTTTTAGAAAACTTTCAGTAAGTTTTTAAATCTTAATGTAGCTTTTTTAAAGCATCTAATTAGCAAAAACACTCATCTTTCCTCAAAGTTTAGATTTATAATTCTGAAGTTGATTGTGATGACTTAATCTCTACTTATGTCAGATTGTTCTTTAATATATGAAAGGCTTAAAAAATACATAAATTTCAACTGGGTTAAAGATTTGTGTACACTATTACAGCATTGTCATTAAACTAAATGAGGTATTAAAGTCTTAAAACCACAGTTATAATAAGATAGAGAACTCAACCATAACTGTACGACTAAAGAAAATACTAATTGATGATGCCCTCTTTCCAATTGTCCGAAATAGACTTGTTTCGTGGGGTGTTTTTAATTGAGTTATACATTTCTTTGTTTTCCTTCTGTTTTTATGGATGTGGAGCTTTTTAACTTGCAGAACTTTCTACTTTATTAAGCATGTGTTTTTTGATAATTAAGTTTTCTTTCTCTTTTTGGGCTGTAGAAAACAACAGTCTTGTGAATATAATATTGCTTACCATGTGGCAGAAACTAAGTCTTTCTTTTATTTATTCTGAATTATATCTGTTGGTAATGTAAAATATTTCAAGCAATAATCAAAAACACTGATAATATAAATGTGTATTTTTTGAAAAAAGAAAAAAATCACTTCTGAAAAATACTAGTAAAATTTTAAACATAATGAATGCACATATTTTTGATCACTGTTATGTAAAATGACCATTCTGGTTACTGGCAACACAGCATTGAACAAGACAGAGTCTCTAATCTTGGAATCCACTTACAATTTTTTTCTCATTTTCGTCAATTTTTCTTATATATTAAGTGGCTTATTTTTAGCTAAAATAAATTTGATAGATTTCCTTTGAAATGAATTTCACTAAACAAATGAGATATTATTTGTTAGTTTTCTGGGTTTTGTATGCTGTGTTCCTGGAACATCATGATTCTTGAAACATATTTATAATTTTATTTACTACTCTTAACAAAGAATATATAATGAGGAAAACACTGTTTAATAAATACATATTTCTCCGATATTTTAGCTGGGAAGTTTTAAGATTCCTTCTGTCCAACATAAGATGGTGGTTGGAAGAATATTGCTTTGATGGATTTCGTTTTGATGGTGTTACATCCATGCTGTATCATCACCATGGAATGGGTAGGTAGTATGATATATTACCCATGTAGTTAATGATTTTACTTATTGTTTATTTTCTTACTGGAAGACAATAACCAGGTCTGGGGTTCAGTTACATAAACTGTGGTACCCATTGACTTTTAATTGTTCCATTGTGTATATATTCTTTTTAATCACTTCTGATACATTTTGGCAAGAAATAGGGTATACATGCATTTGTAAGTAAATAAAAGATAATGGTTTCCTTTATAATACATCTTCTCAACATGTTAATTCTTATCATGTACCATTTATTACAAAAGCCTAAGGATTTGGACATGACAAATTTACAATGAAAAATAACACAAAAATGATAAACAACATTTGTGAAGGCTTAAGATTTTTTGGATATTATACATTGAAGAAAATAGGTGTATTAAATATAGATTTACTCAGTTAAAATTAAATTGTAAATTTATGAATTACAAATGTTGATCAGACCCTCATTTTAAAAATTGTGCAAAGTGGGATCTCAGTATCTTAATCCCCGAATAGATAATATAATTTAGATAACAAGGGCACCTTTATAAAATTGCCAAATTCTCACCAGCAACAATAAAACAAAGATAGAGAAAGTTTAGACTGGAAATCTTTGAAAAATGGCTACTAAGAAAAGAAATATAAAATTTAAAGAGTATCTTCTTTACTCTCAATCATGGTGCTGCCTCCATGAAATGTTTGCCTGGAAGAAGTTGAACCTACAAAACACACTGTATTCCATTTGTATCTATCCTCCAGTTTGGGGAGAAGGTTATTTTGAGAACACAAAGGCAAGCATGGCAAGAATTTAAAAAGATCAGCTCCTAGCTTATAACTCCCTCTGCTGAGGGTAGGGCATATCCAGGGAATTGTGGCATTGGGAAAATTAACCAAAGTTTATTTTCATGGACAAGGGATATGCTTTTTATCAGTAAAGAGCTCAAGAAATGTAAAGGAAAACATTCTGATTACTTAGCATATTTTCCCCCTTGGAATGAGAAAAGATAGAAAACAAACCTTGAAACTGCATAGCAAAAGAACATATAAGATGCCATAATAAAATATGTGATAATTAACATTAACATAGTATTTAATTTATAAATTCAGTGATACAGAGAAATTTCTCAGAAAGGAGATGGAGATTTCTAGGAAGAAAAAGTAATTCTAGGAAGAAAAAGTAAAAAGGATGAATAAATGACTGGATTCATATCTATTACCAGAAGCCATGTCTACAAAATTCTTAGGAAAACAAATTAAATCAAGAAAATAAGAGTAGAATTGTCATTGCCAGGAGTTGGGAGCTAGAGAGAATGGGGGAATTTTGTCAAAGGATATAAACTTATCAGTAGAAGACAAATTTTAGGGGTCTAATGTAAAACATGGTGACTATAGTTAGTACTACTATATTGTCAAACACACGAATGTTAACTTGGTGGAGATGAATATAATTGATTTGTGGTAATAAGCATACCTATGTCAAATCATTAACTTGAATTTGTCTAATATATTTATTTTTGTCAACTGGATATTTTAAAATAAAAAGAATGATAGTATCAAAAAAAAGAAATATGGTAGCTGAATTACGGTTAAGGTCTGAACATGAACTTTAAGGAATAAAACATCCATAATTATATGTCAAAATATCTCTCAGCGATCAAATCTAACAATGAAAATAAAGAATCAAAATAAAAGAACTTAGATATAGGGAAGTAAGGGTAGGGAGACTGGTACTAAGCACTGATTTGAATTTTAAAAATAAGAGCAAACTATTGAAATAATCAAAAGTAAATGATACAACTCCAGTAACTAAAATACACTACAGTCTACCAAAATTAGGAGATGAAGGAAAGGAGGTAGTAAGGTGTTTAATTATAATCTATTTGTCATCATAGGAAATTCTGTATTATGTAAATTGAAGCACATATTTAACATAGTATTAAGCATTATATCTTAATTTTGTAATGGCTTTCTTCTTCTTTACCTGAAAGGAATCTATTATAATATTGGAATCTAACATTAATATTTTCTTGATGTGACAGAAAATGTATCTAAAATTTGAAATTTAGAGTTCCTTTCAGTATCATTTCACTGCATTTTAAATCATAATTTAGTTATGATTATATGAAATGTTAAAATTTGTTATTACTTTGGTGGTGGGTATCAAACTCAGGATCTCCAGCATTCTTGCAAATAATTTACTTCTTGAGCTACAACCCCAGACTTCTTCCACCTTTTTATGTCAAACAAAAATTGATTTGCAAGGTTTTCTGGACTCTAAATGTTGACCCAGGTACTTTTCTGCATTAGTACATTTGCTGATTGCAAAATTATCATTATACTTTGCTACAGTACCAAAATTCATATCAATTTTAGGTACTTTATTTTATTATGTCAATATAATATATCTCTATTGATTTTCCATTCTTCAGGTCAAAGTTTTTCAGGTGATTACAATGAATATTTTGGACTACAAGTTGATGAAGATGCCTTGACTTATCTCATGTTGGCAAATCATTTGATTCATACATTGTATCCAGATTCCATAACAATAGCTGAGGTAAAGCCATATGATTGCTTGCTTATCTTCTGACCCCCTTTAATATAGAGCATTTTGTTAGCTTATAGTATTTGAATGTTTAATTTCATGTTGCTAAAAATAACATAAATGAAATTATACCCTAACTATAGTGCAGCTGTCTTGTATGGGTAGTACATTATGCAAAATTCGCTATTTTCCTGTTAGGGAATAATATACACTAAATACTTGTCACCGATCCATTGTTAAAAAGAAAATGTCAGTTGTTAGAAAGTAAAATATCCTAATGAGTGGACAGTTCTTTTCACCCTGAGACCTTGTACAGAGAAAAAAATTAAATATTAATGTGCGTCTGTCTATTTCTTTCTTTATGTTTTTGGTTTAATTATTAGAGATGGCATGGATGGCTGCCTACAAGCTTCTCTGAACCCTTCTTTATTCTGATGCAATTACCTTTCTTGTTTACGTTATTGCTCTCAGATTGCCAAATGTTCACTAGTTATTCATGATTACTGAAAGTTCATGATTAACTGTCCCAAAGCTGCACTGTAATGATATAATTTGGTAGATGCATAATTGACAATTCCCCTCTTGGTGATAAATGTGATAAATTAAGAAGTTTGTTAAATGCTTATGCTAATTTAGATTTAGTACTAAAATCCCCCTGGTTTTCTGAGTCCTCTAAGTAGAAATTATTATTAAAATTGAATTTAGTATGTTAAAATTATTCTATACAAGTGTAGTATTGGACACATAAAAATAATAAGGCTGTGTTTAAAAGGAGTCAGAATGAAATTATATTTTTATAATGTTGGCATTTAGTAGTTAGTCTCCTTTTTTATGATATTTATTATTTGTTTAGTCTTTTTGTACTCATATTTTCTGAAAACCTAAAAAGACCAGTAGTGGTATGATTTTTTTTTCTTTTTAAAATTTGTTCTAATTAGTTATACATGACAGTAGAATACATTTCGACATATTGTACACAAATGAAGCAAATCACACTACTGGTGTGACTCTGCACCATGTTCAGTAGTGCCATGATTTTATCGTTTATCTCTACATACAGAAAAGTTTTACTTCCTTCAGGCCTTTTGCCTTCCGAATATCCTTGGGGAATAGAGTGAAACTCCTGAAATAAGTTCTCATATAGTATTAAAAACAAACCTAAAACTATAATTTAGACACCCAGTATTAATTCACACTCTGTACCTACCTTCCGTACTCTGTACATTTATTTGATCATAGCATTTAAGTCTGGCTAATACTTGTATTAATAAAATACTTAATGTGCTGAAGGTTTTTTAATATCGATCAGAGTTTATTTTTAACTTTTGTTTTTTCTTTTATATAGTATGTTAATTTTATCCGTCAAACATCAAAAAATTAATTATATTGTCAATTATATTGTTGCAATTCAAAGCAGAGATATTATATATGGCAAATTACTACAAACAATTAATGACAGAGTAAATCAAAAGTGGGCTGAAGAAAAAGAAGCAATTATTTAATACATGAAAGTTAAAATTGTTACATTGATCTTCCCATTTATTTCAAGTAAAATAGTTTCATCATCTAGGGAGCTTTTGTCTGATTATCGGTGTTTCTACCAATGAAACTTTGAGACTTTAGCCTACTTTATATTACTTGCTTTCAGATTTTTTTAAAAACAAGATGTGTCTTCAATTTATTCTACTTAAATTGAAAACTACTTCAATTTCAATACATCACTTTTCTGTCTAGTGGGAGTCTCTTCAAAATGTAGAATTGATCCTCATGAACTTTTTTTGTTAAGAACAGAAAGCAGCGTCTCAAATAAGTAATGTAATTTTATATAAAGTCCTATATTAGAAATATGAATTTTTATAGGACAATTATAAAAATTGAAACCCCTTTCTTTCTAGAATATATCTGTGTTTCTACACAGTTATTTTATTAATTGAAAATCTTTTGATTGAATTTTCCCCCTCTGGAATTGTCATAAGTGCTTTTTAAATATTAAAAAAATAGAAATATTTTAATTTAATTAAAAAACAGCCATTTTCGTATGTCATATCAATAGACATCAGCTTTTTGTATTTGAAATGTACTTATTTTGGTGACTTTTATATTTACCTTCTGTTTTCTTTAATTTTTTTTTTTTTAATATTGGGGATTGGACCCAGGGGTACTCTACATTCACAGCCCTTGGTAATCTACATCCACTACCCTTTTTATTTTTATTTTTTTTTGAGATTGGCCTCTAATTTGCAATCCTTCTTCCTCAGCCTCCAGATTTACTAGGATAACAGGTGTTTTCTGTTGTGCCCAGGTTCTTTAAATTTTTTTTTTAAAGAGAGAGAGAGAATTTTTAATATTTACTTTTAGTTTTCAGTGGACACAGCATCTTTGTTTGTATGTGGTGCTGAGGATCCAACCCAGGCCTCATGCATGCCAGGCGATGGCGCTACCGCTTGAGCCACATCCCCAGCCCCTTTAATTTTTTTTAAATTATACTGGGCTATTACCCATTGTTTCTGACAGTCAGCGTGCTCTGGTTAAAACCCTTTAGGATTCTAGTACTAATATGGTGCCAGTTGTCTGATACATATATTTAGATAATGCTTATGAAGTGAACTGAATACTTATAATATCTGAAACTCTAACCTATATTTTGATATAATTTTTAAAATATCTTCTATTGACCACTTTTTTATTTAATAAATTACAAAGAACTATGCTCAAATAAAATACTCTTGACAAATAAATTATTTTCTTATGGCTGTTTCTCACCATCTAGTACATTTACTTTCTCTTCCATAAGAAAATAATAAATTACCTTGTGAGAGCCTAGAGGTCATGTAATTATTTTATCCCTAGCGTTTCTGTGGGAAGTGTTTAGGGATAATATTGTAGAACCAGCAACATTTACGCTATCTCAGAGTTCATAGCATATGATAATCTTTTATAAGAAATAAGGATAAAGATGCAAAGAATAGTTTGGACAATGACATTTATTAAAAAGCTTGTGAAAAGTGCATGGAAAAGTAAATATTTCAAAGTAGTCAAAATATTTAGTACTTGAAATTAAATAGTAGGAAATCATAATGGGTAGATATTGAATCTCTCCATTTCTGTGAACTTTAGTCAATTATCACAACTATATTGCACTGTCACCTCATGAAAATGTGTGTGTGTGTATATGTGTATTTAGGTCATGGATTATGAATCCTCAAATATCACATATGATTTCTTATTTATCTTCAAGTTCCTCGATATACCTTTATTTATTCATTCAACAAATATTTGTTGAAGATGTATTTGGACCAAATACTATTCTATTATTCTGGGGTTTTGGCATATACAAGTAGATCAAAACAGCAACAACAACAATTCCTTGCCGTTCTGGATTATATATTCTTAAATAGAGTACAGCATCAGATAATTAAATAGTAAATTATATAGAAAATGTTCAATGATTGATTGCTAATTGAGTCTGCAGCTAAGGAATTTGAGTTTTCTATTGTTTTAAAATAATTTGTTTTAAAAATTTATTAAAGGGTAACAATAGAGTGGACTCTCCCATAAGATATAAATTTGTAGAAAGAGAAAAGAGATAGGGAATTCTGTTTGTCAGCATAATGGTCTAGGTAAGCAGTAGTAAAGATTATATAGAATTGTGGCTGTAGAAATGAAGCAGAGCAAAAGGATTTATTTGAAAATAGTAGAAATCATAGTACTTAGCTCATATTTTGCTATATTTGTTATAATAATATTTTTTATTACACCTGGGTCCTTCCACTTACTTTTAAGACTCTTTTTTAAATTAACTGATTATTTATAGTTTCATTTTTCCCATGACAGTAGAAAGACTGTGAAAGAGTTGATATTTGAGTTCTTTTTTCACCACCAATAAATCTCTTGCTATTGAGATCCCTTCACCTTATTAAACTTTTGTTTCTGTCCCTGTTCAATGAAGAAGTCCCACGAGCTTGTCTTGAAAACCCCTTCCAAGTGTAGCCCAGTATAATGAAAGCTTCATGCTTCATGCTTTATTGTCTAGCTTGCTATTTATTTCCTCAGAAGCTAACACTCACAGAAACACACTCCATGTCAGGCTATATATGAAGAGAAAGAGTATAACAGATATATGTCATGTGTATTTTCGTGTTTGATAAAAGCACTAAGTAATTGAAAATGTTTCTAAGAAACCATGTTTTAGCAAAATAGTTTCATTATTTTGTATTCTCAAGGTGGTGCTAGGGAAAATAAGAAAATACCCTCATGGGACTGAAGTTGGTCTGGAGTGAAAACACTGAACAAAAATCTTATTCGTCAGTGAGACATCATATCACAATTTTATCTATGTTTACAATGGGGTTACTAAAAGACTACCAAAATACATGTCATTATTTATTGTTTTACTTTATTGGCCTAAATTTTACTGTCAGGAAAATATTTACTACAAGTGTGAGTAAATGAACTGATAATACTAACATATTTCATTTTAGGATGTATCAGGAATGCCGGCTCTGTGTTCTCCAATTTCCCAGGGAGGTGGTGGTTTTGACTATCGATTAGCGATGGCAATTCCAGATAAATGGATCCAGGTAAGATTTCATGTAAACATTTTTTCCTGTGGATGCTAGGTTGATTTTTTTTTCCTGAATCTATTTCTTACTAATGATCATTAGGTACATTAGAATATTAAATTCTCCCATTAGGGTATCTATTCATGTGCTTTTTAATAAGGTGGTTCTCAAACTTTAATACTGTTAACTATTCACATTTATGTTATTCAGTCAAGGGAAAATATGAGTAATATAGTGTTGGCTGTATAAATGGAGACTTGCATTATCAATGTGATTGTGTGAAACTTCTTTGCTCAATAGTTAAAATGCATTGAACTTTATCAAAGGATTCATTTCTGCCTTGATATCAACCATTAATATAGAAGTTACTCCTTACTTCCCTCTGGTACTTGCTTCATAGTTTGGTGTTTCCTCAGCAAATTTGTATACATACACATTCCTTCATTCAGCATTTGAAAGTTCTTACAGTTGTCAGACACAATGAATAATTCATGCATTTTACTTTATACAGTATTTCTCAATGCAATTTTATTAAATTTAATGACAGTTCCAGTTGTTTGGGGGTTACACACACACACACACACACACACACACATTTATTTATTTATTTATTTATTTTAAAATTTATTATTTACCTAAAGGACCAAAGTTATTATGTAAACTTAGGTTTGACTTAGAATATTTTTGAGTGGCCATGTGTATGAGCGTGGGCTGAATTTATCTAGTGTCGGTCATATATATCTATATAAATAATCATAGCTTTCCTCTGGTAGGGGAATGAACTGGTTCCATGTGATAAGAGTAGGAGAGATCCTTAACTTTATATCGGAAAATCATAGAACCTACTCTGAAAGATGTGACTTTTGTGATATTTTACTGTCTTTCCATGCCCCCAGGGGATTTATGCAGTGTACATCTATGATCTTAAATCACTACCAATATGACTTCTGCTTCTCCATTTGTAATGATTCTTTATACAACAGATTCAAAAGCAAGGATTTTACAAAAATTTGTTAGAAATCAAGCAGGCCCATGACTGTTCTGGCTTTAATACATTAAAAGACTTCCTTATATTTGTTATTTTTAAAAAATGATGTCATATTTAAAGTTCTCACCTTGATATAAATATGGTTATCAGTTCTCATATTTTACTAGTTTTAGACTTCCCTACAGACTTCTTTACCTTATAATTGCCAAATCTTACTTGTTAATCTCTTGCTGAAAAGCTTTTACCAATCTATGTGCAGATTAAAGAATATTCCAATGTGTACATGAACCTAGAATTATTTTCAACATAATCGTATCTCACAGTAGGATATATTCTTCTTGGAATATTTATGGCGTTTTTTTTTTTCCACAAATCTTTAAATTTAACCTAATAAACATTTCAATAGTATGTGTCTTCAAGGTACTATTGGTAGTAGGCAGAGTATCATACAAATGGGGAAAAAAGGTGTCTTTCTATGTATGATATATATGATCATTCCTGTCTTTCTGGATTATAAATATTCTGAAGACTGATGTCAATTTCTATTTTATGAAATTATTTAAAAATCTTTTTTATTGCCAAAGTGAGAACTTTAGTTAATATAAACCTAGAGAGTTAAAATGATATATTTTTAAACATCCTTAGCAGAGTAATTTTCCTCTTATTTTGTATCTTGTGCATTTTAGAAAAAATTAATGATGGTTATTCCACCAAATGATAATAAAACATTCAAGAGGATTAAATCGAATAACATCTGTTTTCAGAATATATGTGGCATGTACAGTTATTGACCCATAGGATATAAGATTAGAATGCTAGATCTCATTTGTTTTTGTTATTAAACACAAGTTATGTTCTATTTGTATTATTTTATAACCAGTGATTTGGAATATCATTTTGGTTTAATGATTTGTTTAATAAATAATGAAGCTAAGGTTTTAAAATTGAAATAATTGTATATTTATATTCACTTGCAGTTATAATATAATACTTTCCTCAACACAAGTTACTTCCTGTTGCCTCTTATATCACATCTCTGTTTCTTTTACCCACAATCATTGCTGAACCTCTGGCAATTACTGACATGATCTACATTTCTTTAATTGTTTTTCAATTCAGTGTGTAACCTTTCTGGTTTGACATATTCACTTAGCAAAATTATCTGGAGATTCATCCACATTCTTGGCATGTATTAGTAGTAAATTCCTTTTTATCTCCAAATAATATTCCATACTATGAATATTCCAGTTTGTTTAACTATTCATCGAAAAACATCTGGATTGTTTCCACATTGTGACTATTATGAATAAAGCCCCTATGAATGTTTATGTACAATTTTTTTATGTGACCATAAGTTTTCATTACTATGTGATAAATGATAACAGTACAATTACTAAGTCATGACAGTCGTACATTTAATTTTTAAAGAAACTGTTTCCAGAGTGACTATACTATTTTGTATTCCCACTAGCAACTTTTGAGAAATCGTTATTTTATTTTTAACATATTATGTGTTATTGTCTTTTCTTTTTTTTTTTTTTTTTTTTTTGGTGGTGTGTGTATGGTGGTGGGGGGGGGCGAGTACCAAGGATTGAACTAAAATACTCGACTACTGAGCCACATCCCAGCCCTATTTTGTATTTTCTTTACAGATGGGTTCTCACTGAGTTGCTTAGCACCTCACAGTTGCTAAGGCTAGCTTTGAACTCATGGTTCTCCTGTCTCAACCTCCCAAGCTGCTGGGATTACAGGCTTGCGTCACCATACCCGGCTCTACTTTTCATTTTATTCATTCTAGTAGATGTATAAATATATGTCACTATGGTTTTAATCTGTATTTCGTAATGGATTAAGATGGTAAATATGTTACATGTTACTGTTTGCCTTCTGTATGCCCTCTTTGGTAAGATGCATATTTATGTCTTTGACCATTTTCCAATTGGATTTATTATAGAGCTTTAAAGGTCAAGTTTTTTTATTTTTTTATTTTAGTTTTTTTTCATTGAGTTTCAGACCTCTGGATTTTCCAGTGCTTTCTACTAAATATTTGTGACAGTATTACTTTTTATACTTAAGTCTATGATCTATACTGAGTTATTTTTAAAATTTAATCTATTTTGGGATTATCTTTGTGCAGGATTAGAAATCTTAGCTTGATTTAGCCTAGGATTTAATTTATTTTCCTTGCATGTAGATGTCCATTTCTCCCAACATCATTCATTGAAAAATCTGTCCTTCCACTAAATTAATTGCCTTTGCCAAAAATTAGTTGAGGGGCTGGCAATGCTAGAGTACTTACTTAGCATGTATGAAGCCTTGGGTTTGATGCCCAGGACTGCAAAAATAAATAAATTAGTGGGGCATATTTGTGTAGGTCTACACATAAGTTTCCTATTGTTATATGCAATTACCACAAATTTAGTGGCTTAAAACAACAGAACTTTATACAGTTCTGTTTGTCACAAATCTAAAATATGCCTTGCTAATTTAAAATCAAGGTTTTGGCAGTATTGTTTCTTTGGGAGGCTCCAGGAGAGAACTCATTTTCATGAATTTTCTAGCTCCTAAATTCCACTTCTATTCCTTGACTTGTGGCTCTTTCTTCCATCTTCAAAGCCAGCAGGAGAGCATCTTCAAATTTCTTTCTTACTCTGACTCAAATTTTCTATTTAGAAGGATCATTTTCATTACATGGGCCCATCCAGGTAATCCAGGATAATGTTCCTATCTCCATGTTCTTAACTTCAGTTCATCTGTAAATGTCTGTAAAGTAATATATTCAGAGATTGTGGGATTTGGTTTGTGGAAATCTGTGGTAACACTTATTCTGCCTAAAATGGTCTTTCTGGTGCTTAATGACCACAATGACTAGATAAACAAGTGTGTACTCTGCAGAGTATTAAGTCAGCAAAGGAAGACACAAGCAAAATTTGTGAGAATTTGTCTAGAAATAAATTCATCTTACTAGAGATTCATCCATATTGTTGCAAGTATTAATAGTGCATTCTATAGTAAAATTGACACTTGTTTTCAATTTGCAGTGTAACAGATTCCACACATTTAACATCTTAAAACCTTATTGAATTATTTTATCACTTTTTTTTTTGGAGTTTATCTATCATAGTCAAAGATCACACTAACACGTGATGTAAGGGGATTAAATAGGAGAGAATAGGAAGCATGTGGGCCATCTTAGAATTCTGCCTAAAACAGAATCTATTTGGCACTGAAGAGAGAAGAGAAGTGGATCTTTAGAAAGAGTATGTTGAATAAAAGAGAGAGATTATATTTAGGATATAACCTTGAGGAACACATGTAGAGAAAGAGAATTTTCAAGATGTCCAGAGGGGTGGAAAAAATAAAACAAGATTCACAGTGGTAGACCAAGAAATAGAATTCTTGGGAAAGGCAGAGGACCAAGAAATAGAATTCTTGGGAAAGGCAGAGGGTCCACAGTGTCCTGTACAGCAAGTATTACCTAAGAAGGAGCAATTACAGACCCAGGAGGCAACTATCAGATCTTGGTAAGGTCAGTAGCATCAAAACAATGTTATGGGGTAGAAGAAAATGAAATAGAAACAAAATCAGTGTGATCTATTAAGATGATAATTATTTTATGATGATTAACCTTTAAACTTTGAAATAATTGTTGTTTCATTTATTATTGTTTAAGAATGGAACAATACATTCTTCCTGCTAAAACTTTTTCATTCAAATCTAAAAATGTACAAGTGTATTTCTTGTCTGTGAAAGTTACAGGAAGACATTTTGTGCTACAACACTGTATTGTGGGCACTGGTCACATGGTAGCACTTATTGCAGGAAAGCAGAGTGGCAAAAATCCTAAAGTATTATAAACCTATCCAAACAAAAGCAAACTACACATTCCAGCATATATCCTTTATCATTTTCTGTTAAATATTTTGTACAAAATTGATTTCAGTAAAAATTTAAACAATGATATTGTTTCTATGGGATGAGGTTTTATCTACAAGTCGAATAATGTGAACTACATAATATAGGCCCTCAGATTGAGATTTAAAATAAGATAAATAATGGTTTACTCAGAAGTTTATTTTTCTTTTTTATGTATAGCTCATTAAAGAATTTAAAGATGAAGATTGGAATATGGGCAATATAGTATACACTCTCACAAATAGACGCTATCTTGAAAAGTGCATTGCTTATGCAGAGAGCCATGATCAGGTAAATGAATTTGTGTATAAATTCATTTCTCTCTCTCTCTCTCTCTCTCTCTCTCTCTCTCTCTATCTTCTTATTATTTAAATATAAAAAAATTATAGATAAAAATGAGGCAACAATTTTTTTTAATTTCTGAAAATATTTTAAGAAAACAGAAACAAAACAAGAAATTTCTATGATATTTTAGACAAAATTGGCCATTTGATATACAGGTTTCTCCTGTAATTGTTAAAAGTGTAAATAGAGTAGGGATTTAAGAATAGCTATAAGGCCCAAGGATGAAATATATCTGCTGCCTGTTTTTGTAAATAAAGTTAATCTGTGAATAAAGTTAATTTGAATACAGCCATGCTGATTCATTTATATATTTTTTTGTTCAGCCATCATAGCAGGTTTGAGTAACTGAGAGAAAATGGTTTACAGTGTTTAAAATATTTGTTTGACCTTTTACAGAAATTTCCTAACCCAAGAAGTAGACTTATCCTAAAGTTTGCTCCTTTTGAATTGGGACAGTGATTTTTTTCAAAAAACAAAACACACAATATCCTTGACCATAAAACAGATGAAATAAATGCTTGTAAAAAATATCAGTGCCCAAACTGGATAAACAAATATTCATTTAAGGGGTGGAGGGTTATGAGGAATGAGAACTTATCCCCAAATATGTAACATAGTGAACAACGAAAATATACACAAAAGTTATTTCTTTGTATTGCAAACTGCTAGAAGTTTTAATACAGTATAAATTCCCAGCATGTTAATTTTGTATGTTTAAAAGATTACATGACTGGAATAAGCAAATAGAAGAAGAAACTGATAGGTTTGTTTTTATAACTTTCTATCAGGTCTTTAAAGAAACAAATTTCCTAAGAATTGTTTTGTACTTGAAAGATTCATGCCAGGCCTTGTGGCACACATTTGTAGTCCCAGCAACTCGGGAGGCTGAGGCAGGAGGATCACAAGTTTCAGGCAGGTTACAAAAGTAAACTTAAGCATATAAACAAATAATTCAAAATGAGTAGGAAAGACAAATTGCATAAGAACTAGCACTGATTAGTGCTATAGATCTTGTAGTAGTACTTTAAAGGAGTCATTTTTATTAAAATAGGTTAGTGATTGAATAGGGTTGTAAGTGAATTTGTTTTCTAAAACTGAAAATAATTGTAATAGAATACTAAGATTGCAGATTATCTTCTGTTGTACATTTCACTATATGTTATTGTTTTGTTGGTGATGAATACTTTGCTGTTTTTAGCCATGAATAGTTCAGATTGTTAGGAGACCTTCCTTCTTCTACTCAGGGCTTTTTTAGTTATCTATTATTCTCTTTCAGATAAAACAAACTAAATGTTGGTTAAATGGCAAATACAATGAGAAAGTAAATTTATATTTAAGACAAATGGCAGAACGAATCAGTGCAATATACATTTAACATTATCTTAAGTGTATATATAGATGATTTTTTAGAACCATATCCATTGTTTCAGAATCAACTCTTTAAAAAAGATCTATGTAATATTGTTGCCATTATTATAAATGTGTGTTTAAGAAAATCTTTTTTTTTTTTATTTTTGTAATTGTAAATGGACAGCATGCCTTTATTTTGTTTTATTTTTACGTGGTTCTAAAGATTGAAGCCAGTGCCTCACACATGCTAAGCAAGTGCTCTGCCTTTGAGTTACAGCCTCAGCCCCTGTTTAAGAAAATCTTAAATGTCAGTTCAAGTGTAACAAATGTTCATATACCTTATCATGAGTTTTTTCAAGATATTTTAAAAATAAGAATCAATCTTAAAACAAATGAATAGATCTCTTAATTTATTTTTACCAGCCCATGTTCACCATAGAAAGTAACTATTGGAAAAAATATATGAAATTAATATAATCCAAAAACCTTTCCTACAATTATTTTCCCTCCTGTGTAGCCTCATGTTCTAGTGTAAATCACTGATGCTTAGTACCACTGCTCTTCATTTATCTCAGTAACTTTTATTTCTGTAGGCACTGGTTGGTGATAAGACACTGGCATTTTGGTTGATGGATGCTGAAATGTATACAAACATGAGTGTTCTAGCTCCTTTTACTCCAGTTATTGATCGTGGAATACAGCTTCATAAAATGATTCGACTCATTACTCATGCACTTGGAGGAGAAGGCTATCTCAATTTTATGGGTAAGTGTAAGTTACCATTCTGTGTTTGAAAAGTTAACTAATATTATATATCACATAAATCTTGTAGAATATACTGATTTAATATAAGGTCACGCATAAATTGAAAAATTAAATTATTATACAACTACTATTACACATGATGCAAAACCACACTCTAAAAGCTGGTATTTTATTGAATATTTCTGAAAACAACTATGCTAAACTATTTTTTCAAGCTGGAATTATTGTTCGGATTTTAATCATTCTGAGTTTTATTATTGCTGTGTGTTACATTAAACATAGGTAATATGTAGCAGTTATGTAATAATGTATTAAATCATTATTAGTAGTCTTCTTTGAGGTAATTGTCCACATGATACCTCTGTCATAAATGTGAAAACCAAGGCTCAAGAGTATTATGACAAGCAAAATATTTTTTAAAATAGAAATGAATATTTGAAGGACATTATTATCTGAAGGATGTTAAATGATGAAACAGATACTAACTAATATATTTTTGTATTCTATTTGGTCAATAACAATCTTTTTTAACATTTGAATTTTAGAGGATTTTATCAGCTTTTAGGCTACAGAGAAACAGACTGGAAAATATATACAGTAAGCTATTATTTTATGACAAAAGCCTCAGAGCATTTGGTTTATGCATTTTTGTCTGAAAATTTTCATATGAAATCTCAGACTTTTTAAAAAATTTTTAATTGTAGATGGACACAATACCTTTATTTTTTAAAATTTATATTCATGTAGTGCTAAGAATCAAACCCAGTGCCTCACACATGCTAGGCAAGCACCCCTCCACTGAACTACAACCTCAGACCCTGGATTTTTAAAAGTTTCTTTTATTTGCTAACTGCAAGTTAGGAAGACAAATCCAAGAAATCTTATGTTGGATTTTACCGATACTACTGTACCTTTGAATATTTTGCTCTCTTCTCAGTGTTGCCAAAATTTGTTAATACTCCTGGCCTGTCAGGAAATAACCTTCCTGACCTGGGAATCTGCAGCCCATCAACCAAGCATCAGGCCAGTTTTCCTGGATGGACTTGGAACCTTAACCAAAGTCAGCATTGGTTCCATAAAAGCAACTGGTCCTACCTTGCATAATTGTATCAGACTTTAACATCACCATCCCAGTAAGGCCTTGGCTACAGAATAAATCTCTTCAAGTATATTCTTGTGAAATTTTGGACTCTATGAATACTTCAGTCAGATTTTTCGCTGCTCTAGTAGGACTCAACCAGAACAACTATAGAGGAGGAAAAGTTTATTTGAGGGATCATGGCTTCAGAGGACTCAGTCCAAAGACGACTGAGTCAATGGTCCCATTCCTTAGGACTAACGATGAGGCTGAACATTATGGAAGAAGTGTGTGGCAGAGGGAAGCATCTCACATAATAATCCAGAGAGAGAGGTCTCTACTTGCCAGAAGCCACACCCTAATTCCCACTTCCTCTAGCCAAACTCTACCATTTAAGTTACCACTCAGTTAATGCCTATCAAGGGATTAACTCACTGATTGGTTTAGAATCTTATAACCCAAACATTTCTCCTCTGAACCTTCTTGCATTGTCACAGGTGAGCTTTTGGGAGATACCTCATATCCAAACCATAACAAATAAGTTTGTCTATGCATATAAGTTTGTCACCATTTAAAATTTGGAGAACAGGGTGTTAGAGGGAGATTTAAAATGTTTTATATTTTTGTTTATGAGAGCATGGTCCATTAAATTGTTTTATAGAAAGGACTTATAAATACACACACACACACACACACACACACACACACACACACACCCCAACACAATTTTTTAGAGAACAAAATAAAATAGATGTCTCTTTTCATGTATTTAGTCCTGTGTCATTAATTCTTGAAGCCAACATCTGAAAATCTAAAAGTTCTAATTCAGTCTGCTGCTTTGATCTGAATGCTGTAACATCAATTTACCTCCATTAATAGTCTAGAGTGTCACCAGTTATAAATGCATAATATAGTCCATTGTCTGAGTCTTTTTTGTAGGAAGACTTGAATCCAGACCTGTGTGCATAACAGAACCTCAAGGCAAACATTAGATTAAAACAAAGCCATCTGTACGTGAGGGACACTTAATGGCCATATCTAATTTAAAATTAATAACTTTAAATAAGAAAGGTCTGATAAAATTTAATAATCTGAAGTATTTGTTGTTTCTTGGTCAGTGTTCTCCTGAGGGTAGAAGCATTTTCCAGAGAGCTAGGGCACTGACAAATCTGGGAACTCCATAAACTTACTAGAATATTAATACTATCATTTGAATTGTATAAAATCAGCTAGGACAAACTGAGTTTTGGAAAAACTCTTATGTTTTGGAAACTCTTCTTGTGGAACTTTTAATAGTAATACAATAAACAGACATAATTATAACATCTTTTTATTTCTAAAAGATTGGTAAATTGACATTTTGGTATCAAATATAATTTTGAGGTTATTCTTTGGTATAAGAATGAGAATTCTTTTGTAGTTTTATTCTTTCTTTGTCTTTGAAAAAAGTGGCTTCTAATTTTAGCTCTAATACCTCTTTTTAAAAGATTCCTTCTCAGTAACTTAACTAAATTCTTCTACTAACTTTGAAATCAGTAATCTCCTAATGGTTATAAAATGTCTGATTCTTTATATTATTTATGGAATATAATATTTCTCCCCATGAGCTTCATGATTTTAAATACATATATCCCTCCTTCTCTGATCATGTTATTGTCCTCCTTAAAAGCCTTCAGTAACTGTGGTGTCTTCCCATTTTATGTGATACATGAAGCCATTTCTGCAGTCTTACCAAGAGTAAATATTTCTTTTTTTGTTGTTGTTTGTTTTTCATTGACAATGATGTATATTGAGTGTTGCTACTAAAACAACCTTAGCTTTCATGTATGAGGAATCTGAATTTGCCTCATCTGTTTTCATATCTCTGGTAAGGCAGTATCATATTTATCAGTTAACAAGTATTATGTATCTATTGCATTGTTTTTATATATACATGGTCTGTACACATGTCTAGAGCATCAAAGCCAATTTGATATGTATTTCTGGTGTACCTGTGCACAGAATTTCTATATACACAAACACAAAGGAAGAAAGAGAAAGGGAAGGGAGGGATCAGGGAGGAGGAAAGAAAGAAGAGCCAAAGGTAAGGGAGAAGAAGAAGGAGAGCAGGAGAGGAGGCAACTTAACTCTAAAGGCAAGTGCAACTTAAAGAGTTAATGAATTTGAGATATGTGTCTATTTAAATTATAATTTTAATATATTCATAACATTTTCTAGATTATTTTTATCACAATTTATAAAATTCATTCTTCAGATATTTTTATATATCTACTATATTTACTATGTATTGTTTAGTGGTATATTTGGATCTGAAAAATAGTTCGTGCCCTCTAGACCTCAAAACTCCTAAGAGGAAACAAACAAGTGACAGACAAGTGTCTTTTTACTAGTATATACACTATGTATAGGGAAAGAGATAAGCAAAGAGTATCATGCCAATATGTAGGAAAGTGGGTTAGGAGATTTGGAGTGAAATTTAGGAACTGCTTTATCCAGATCAATGGGGAAGGCATGAGAGAACCAGGCAGTGAGGTTAGCAAAAAATAGTTTAGGTATATAACTGAAGCAATGGGGTGATAATTTGAGATTAAAATCAATTGAGAATATTAAATGTCAAGCAAATGAAAACAACTCAATCCTAAATAAATCAATTTAGAGGTCATATGCTGATTGACAAGTATAATAATAAAAAGGGTGATTTCACTCATTTAAAAAATATTTTGAATTCTTCAGTAATAAAGATCTTTTATTGATGACTGAGTGGCCAGATAGTTTACTTTTTTATATTTGTAATATAACTCAAAGGATATGGTTTAGAAAAATGAAATATGATGGCTGGCAACCTATGTGAATGCCTTTATTGTTTTTTGTAATCTCTAATTAAGTATATTTGATGGCTAAAAATAAATATGAAAAATAGCTGCTCACACATGAGATGACTTCAGTGAATATATGTTAATTTTATGTAGATAAACTGAAAAGGCAATTCAAAGGAAGAAAAATAATGAAGATAGGAATATAGTTTGCTCATTTTTCTGATGATTACCTGGTTATCATGGAAATATTAAAATTTCCTAATCCCATCAGTTGGGGGTGAATAGTCACATGATTTTATCATGTGGTTCCTCAGGAATTGATATAAAGATGAGTTTAGGTAAGTAAATTGGTTACTGTTTCTATTGATCACACAACCAGGAAAAAATACCAATGCTGATACTTCAGTCTTACTTTCATATAATACCAAAATAACAATATAATAGCCTTCTTTAGTTACAGACTGCTTAGAATTATAAAAAGAGAGAGGAAAGCAAATATTTATTCGATTTTAGATAGAGCTACCTAGAAGCATTTTAAAATATCAAATAAAACAAATTAAAATATAAATATTAAGCATATACCTTGTGATTTAAAACGTTGGCAGATGAGGTAGCATGCAATTTTAGAATCAAAAAAAGAAACAATCAGAAGACAACCATAAATTCGAAAATGAAGTAAAATTACTGAATAGTTTTTAAAATGTGAAGTTTTATAAACTAAAAGTATCATCATTGAATCACAAGTGGCTTTTAAAGAATATTCTCTGGCTTTTCAGAGAGTTCTTTATAACTCTACACTAAACTGGACAAGAGTGAAGAGAAAGGTGTAATGGGTAGTTAACAATAACAATTTTTTTTTCATTTAAAGTAATCAAGTCTCTTATCTAATAACTCTAAGAAGAATAGCTTGGTTTTCTGTAGAAACTGCATCTTTGTATCAGTAGCTTTGTTGCCAGTTTGGTGTCAAAGGAAGTTATTTGTCCCCCCCCCCACCCGTTTGATTTTATCTTCTTTGGTTTCATCATATATGGGTTGAGATTCAAAAGCAGAGTGACCTAAATCATTTTCAGTACTGTCACATTAATATTTCACTTGTTCAGAAACCT